ACCTAGTCACTAATATATACCAACCAATTGAGCGCTACACAAACAGTTTCTCTTTGCTACACAAACATTATCTAGACATTAATACAAACAAACCAATATACCGTTACACAAACAGTTTCTCTTTGCTACACAAGCATTACCTAGTCACTAATATATACCAACCAATTAACCGCTACAAAAACAGTTTCTCTTTGCTACACAAGCATTACCTAGTCACTAATATATACCAACCAATTAACCGCTACAAAAACAGTTTCTCTTTACTACACAAGCATTACCTAGACACTAATATATACCAACCAATTTACCGTTACACAAACAGTCTCCCTTTACTACACAAGCATTAACTAGACACTAATATATACCAACCAATTTACCGTTACACAAACAGTTTCTCTTACTACACAAGCATTACCTAGACACTAATATATACCAACCAATTTACCGTTACACAAACAGTTTCTCTTTGCTACACAAGCATTACCTAGACACTAATATATACCAACCAATTTACCGTTACACAAACAGTTTCTCTTTGCTACACAAGCATTACCTAGACACTAATATATACCAACCAATTTACCGTTACACAAACAGTTTCTCTTTGCTACACAAGCATTAACTAGACACTAATATATACCAACCAATTTACCGTTACACAAACAGTTTCTCTTACTACACAAGCATTACCTAGACACTAATATATACCAACCAATTAACCGTTACACAAACAGTTTCTCTTACTACACAAGCATTACCTAGACACTAAGATATACACACCAAATGTACCGCTACACAAACAGTTTCTCTTTGCTACACAAACATTACCTAGACACTAATATATACCAACCAATTTACCGTTACACAAACAGTTTCTCTTTGCTACACAAGCATTACCTAGACACTAATATATACACACCAAATGTACCGCTACACAAACAGTTTCTCTTTGCTACACAAGCATTACCTAGACACTAATATATACACACCAAATGTACCGCTACAAAAACAGTTTCTCTTATTACACAAGCATAACCTAGTCACTAATATATACCAACCAATTAACCGCTACAAAAACAGTTTCTCTTTGCTACACAAGCATTACCTAGACACTAATATATACCAACCAATTTACCGCTACACAAACAGTTTCTCTTTGCTACACAAGCATTACCTAGACACTAAGATATACACACCAAATGTACCGCTACACAAACAGTTTCTCTTTGCTACACAAGCATTACCTAGACACTAATATATACCAACCAATTTACCGTTACACAAACAGTTTCTCTTTGCTACA